TACAATATTTTTGAAATTGCGTAGACCTGAATGTGTAATAAATACGATTGGGAAATGATACGCAAGAGGCAGGAACTAAGCCAAGTGACGACGACTGCCACGACGACCACGGGGCATAAAGTGAAGAAGGGACATGTCAAGGTGAAACAAAGGATGTTATTTTAAGTGACATACGAGTTGATCCATTCCTCCAATTTGTGTAACCCACGCTCTTCCCTACAAACTATATATAAGTTCCAACGCATTCTCTACAACAGCAATTTCTCTCAATAATTAATCGTTTGGGAGGAGGCACGCATTCGACATTGGCGTCTTTTCTAAAAGAAGGTTTAGTTTAATTGGATGAGGTTCCTCTAGCCTGCGTTGTAAATGAGGATTTGACTCACAGAGCCCATTTCCATGTAATTTCATTACTCGTGTGCAGATATTTGCATAGTTCGATTCATGTTCGCTTAATTTCAAAAGTCATTATCCAATAATAAACCGTGGCATGTATAATGTACGCCTTGAGTTTATGTTTTAATATTTCAAAGGTTACGAGTAAAATGATATGTTGGATTTATGATTGATGCATGGTTTCAAAGTTAAATGGAAGCTGTAAAGCTCAAGTTCACCACATTAGGTTTGTATTTTTTTGTGAGAAATTTATCTTTTTTGTACAATTAGTTCGGATTTATGTATTGACAACACACTGATAAGACAGATTTATGCATGTAGTAATTTTGAATGTCTTGTTACTTAATACCGGTTTTTTAACGCAATTTACTTCAATTAATAACTGAGATGTATTACAATTATAATCTGGATGTTATGCTTTCATTATGTTTTGAACGTTTTGAATAAGACTGCCGTGCATTGCATTAGACTCTACAGATTTTCGTAGTCTATTCCCTTTACTGGTGATCGCTGTGCACATTTGCACGTGCCTACGTTAATATTGTGTTGCCTCAAGCGCATCTCAACAGAATATCTCTTCAAAGCAGAATCTTTTCTCATGATTTGACTTTTGCGCAAAGATGAGTCTACAAATCTGCATGAATGAAATCAAACTAAATGCTGTAATTCCGTAATTCAGTGATAATTGTATGATTGGTAAATGAGAGGTATGCAAAGAAGTTTTAAATTATTCGAGAGGTTTTGATTTTATGGAGACATCGTCAAGTCATTATGTGTGTTTGTGTAGTGATCATTAAATTATATGATTTTTTGACACAAAGGGGTTATTATTCTGCTGGTTTTGCAATATGTACATAACTTAAACAACACACCATCACGTAAATATAGGTACGAATGTTTGTACACTAAGCAGACATAAATATGCGCAAGAGAGCAACACTTATTACACACCACCTTTCCAATTGTTCAAAATTCCCGATGCAACAATTATTGATAATTAATGCCATAAAAAAATATTAGAAGATTCGATGTCCGAGTTGACAAAATTAATTTTACGTGGTCATCAAATGTCGGCTGTTGCAGAAAACTTGAAAGCGAATTGCGACAAAGGTGTGCTTGCTGTAACTGTACGAGTGCTTTCTTTACCTTATTAGGTGCACAAACAAACTCGGAGAAATCTCAACAGACAGAATAATTGACAGCCATTTTTATGTGAGTCAATCACAAGAAAAATATTTTATAGTTTAATTCACAAGTAGGATACAATAACAAATAAATCAATTTGTCCAATTCGTAGATGACCACTTGAAAAACTCAATCTGCGAATCCTAAACGACGTCCTTCATCGTAGTAATATGCACTATTTAATATTATGCCTATTGCTTCTTGGGAAAAGTTGTCATCGCTCATTTCATAGACGATTTATCAACTGACAGATGTGTGCGATTCCTGGAATTCCAATTACCTATTTACCGATCTCTAATTATACTTTTATAAATTTATTACCGCAAAAATTTTAATGGACCATTTTTATTTTGTTTTACGACTATTTCATAACAGCTAATTTGATAAGTTTATGAAATATTTTGGCATTAAATTTTTACAAAAAGCGACACGTGATGGAACCTGCTATTAATTTTTATGTCATTTATGTTAAAGGCTGTAATAAACATTAGTTTAACGGTGTGTGCGTATATAATAAAGCGGGCAGATCGATAAACCTACTGCCGCCGTAACAATAATTCACTGTATTTTACTAGGCAGCAGTCAGTGCAGAGGATATGACCACGATTATCAGTCAATTAATTTCCTCAGATTTTAATCGTCAGATACAATTGTTTGATTACTTGTCCAAACCAAAATAGTTGGTCGTGACATAAACACAATTGGTTTCACTTTCACAGAAATTTTCAACTTTTAGTCTTCAGACCTGAGCAGCAGGGAGCCAAGAAGGTCCCCACCACACCGCACGCCGTTTGTTGATCCTTCTCGTGAGCTGGTTGAGGAGGAAACGAAGGGTTGTAAGTAGCCCAATCGTGCTTATCATCTCAGGCGAGGAATTAGAGGGTGCAGGCAGGCAGATGGTCACTGATAAGTGCATAATCGCATCGCATGAAAACTAATTGGTCATGAAAATTGCCCATTGTGTTTTAAAACTACTAAAAGTTGCGAGCACTTTATGCAATCTTTTATTAAGTTGTATGGCATTGCCACTGTTATGCAACCCGAGTCGCAAGTGGGGTAAGCGGTCCATTTTTATGACAAATTAATTTTTATTTGTAACAAAAATGAGTTGAATGCATACAATGGGACGGGTTTAAGTCCTCGTTGAGCTCATTTGTAAAAGTGTTAATGGGAAACAAGGGTGAAGAACATCCTTGGACTTTACATCTTTGACACAAAATTCGACACACGAAAAAAAGTTGTAAATTTCAAACAATAAAATCAAGGGTATTCCATATGACACGTGACGAGATGATGAGATGATGTTTAATTAGTCAACTTAGTTGATGTAATAATACCGCACAGATGAAAATTATCTTCTTCGAACTTAACCCATCGAACCCTGTACATCAGTGAATGTTGAGAATACAGATTAAATCAATAAACCCAAGTTTTCTGAAAGATTTACTTCAATTCCATGAATAAGAGATGCAAATTAGTGTGCACATAATATTAAGAATTCGTAATAGATAATGTCCCATCAATAAGATTAAGATCACTGAGGACGATTACATGCACTCTTCTGTAAGAACCCTCCCCTATTATACATAGATAATAATTAGCAGTAATTTGGAGTATATGTGTACACTAATCTCATATATCACAATAACACGTACCGGCCCACTCATTTTATGGTGGTGGTTAGGCTGATTAGACACTTATCCTTCTAATTCTGTATATTATGCAGCTAATCGACTTACAAAGGCAACAATATAGAACGTAATCAAGTATTCATGAGGGATGACATGTGAGGGCTCATCCTCATTTCCGATTTCACTTACAAGTTTGACTTCCTAACATTTTTGCATATTTGAGCCAATCCTGCACAACCATAAGAAACGACCAAGGAGCATCTAGTATGACCACTTGGGTGCTGTCTGGCTACGTACGTATTTAGCGTGCGTGTGTGACTTGACTTATGTAATCAAATCATTCTAAAGTGTGCTGTGCTTGGAGGAAGGAAGGAAAGAATAAATCTATAAAGTGCACAATCTGAATTAATATTTCGTCTTTTGGGTCCATTTTTTAGAGGACTCATCATCATGTCTACCAGCGCTCCTCTCTGCTTCTGAATGCGTGAATACAATGCAGCTATTCAAGCGAGACAAGACAAGAATTTTAAAATTTTGGGACACGACACTTAATGACAACATGAGATTTCCTTTTTTTATTTATTGTTGGAAAGAAAATTAGTACTACTCACTTGCATTAACTGCAACAACACGCAGTCACATCGTACGTAACATAGGATTAGTAGTAGTCAATATTCGTACTCACAAAACCATTAAAATCATAAGAAAGGAAAACATTTAGAGGAGGCGTCTGATGTAACTTTAGGAATGCAGTTAATTGCCCACATTTTTGGCACAAGTTCTTCCTTCCTTTTAAACGCCGCCTTCATCAATGGAACATAAGTGTGCTTGATTCTGAGTAAACCAAGGCAGGAAAAATTATTATTCGAAAATGTCTGAATTGAAGGAGCCGAAATAGAATTATATTTATAGAGGTTTAATCAATTCGAATACGTAAGGCTTCTGTTGTTGCGCGTTACGTGCATATTTAAGTACATATGCAAGTAAGAAGTATGCGAAATGTCTAATATTATCCTCCACTTTCATTCGTTACAATTTTTCATATAAATATTCCACTCAACAGAAAAACATGATTGAGAAAATGCATGTCTCAAATGCTTCTACAAGGTACTTACAGAGTCTAATTTTATCAATCGAATGCAAAAAAAAACGCATCCAAATTAATGACATCAATACAAAGTCAGATTTTTTCAGATGTCAAACTACGGAGAAAGACAATAATGTAACACATTGCACTAACGTCTGCAGTTCTATCAACCCCTTTGATTCACTCTCAATCTTCACAAAGAAGAGGAACCCCTTCTGCTTTGATGACTGATGCTGCGAATGGGTGAATGTGAATGCATAATAGCATTATTATTATTGCACCAAGTCCTCGTCCACCTTCCCAACATGAAAAAGCACATGGCCTGCACAAGTCTGCATCAACGCAGTTATTTCCAACACTTTTTATATTGTGTTCAATGCACCCAGTGCAATTTCTGTGCACGAGACAAGATGTAATCTTCTTCTTTTTTCTATCCTTTTAAATGAAAAAATGATTGCCGTATGCCTAACAATAAAATGAGATATGATGCTCCGCGATAACTTGATGCTTCTACCCCGTCAATCTCTTATACGGCGTCTCTCAAGAAGACAGAATATATGGAATCTCAGCACCCACCTGTACCTTCAGTTGTGGTACGGAACAAACATATTTCAATTGTGGAATAAAATTAATTCTAAATTCATCCCCAGCAGCCTCCTGACTTGGTCGGTCAACCTCCAACGATCTTCGTCAAACTCTTCTTAGTATGTTTTTCACTTTCGACCGTTATGGTTCTAGTCCGATTACATTGGGTCAAATTACTTGGTCACTGGTACGGAAACCATTTACACCAACTTGACAAATACTTACTACCGGTTGTGCTGCTACTGAAGACTGTCATTATTTGTTAAAGAGTGTACGCCTGAAGGAAACAAAATACGCAATATCATGTCAAGTTTCATTTTAAGGCAAAATTCCGATACAACTTTTGGAAATGACTTGAAAGTCTGATTTTGCGAACAGTGGTTACAAGTGTCAAACTCCAAAAAACAGCCATTTCGTGCTCGTTACTTGTGAACTTGACTGGAGTGCGTAATAACAGATATTGCCATGATGAAGTCGACTAAAATAATGAAGTTTGCAGTTGTATTATTTGCCATTGGACTTATTAGTTGGGTTCAAGGTGAGAAATTACCAAGCAATTTTCTACATACTTTAATCCGCATATTATGATTATTCCAATTTGATTACCATATATTTTTAACCACTCTTATGCATGCATCAGTGAATGCTCATAAATTTCAAATTCTCCGACTTGGTACACATATTTAGGTACATATTCACCATTCCCCTGCATAACAAGTAAAATACAACAAATCAATATTAACAATTACCAGTAAAATCATCATGTAATATGATTTACACGAAGGGAAAATCCATATAATATCGTAATTTTGGGCGAACCTAGTACTTAACCAATTTCTTGGCCGCCAAATGAGCCATGTTATTGAGCACAATAGACCAATTACAACCATTTATACATACATAGAGGCTTTCCCTCGTCTTGTTTGTAACAATTAATGACATTCATAACGATTCCACCGTTTAATGTTCACTTATTCCATTGTTCTAAAACAGAAAATAACTAGAAGGGTTCCATGAATGAATGCAGAGAAAAGTTTTCAAACTTTACAACAACTTGCGAAAATCGAAATCGGCTCAGAAACAGGGAGAAAGAGTTGAGCCTAGTTTTCCTATTCAGAAAACATGGTGAATGCAACAATGAGATAAAAAATGAGATGGCACCATAAAAGTACTGCTGAGGAAGATGTTACAATTAGAACTTGTTTCACAAAAACTTTTTTTCAGACTCAACATTATATAATAGCATCGAAAGTTGATTTTTACACTTTTCATGCCCATACACTGCTTCCCATTGTGCTCGCGTGCTACACGTCGTAAAGTGTAATAAATTTCATGCAATGACACATATCCGTCACTAATCTAAAAAACATCATCATACAAATACAATGAATACATATATACTTGTCCTCTTCCTTTGATTCGTTAAAGATGGGTCAATCGAAGAAAAAGCACACATTGCTAACAGGTGTGAAATTTGGGTGCGCAGGTTTTTATCATACTTCACATACGCGTTTTTAGTGATTTTCGAAAAAATAATTCAAGTCCTTAATTGCCTTTAACTAAATAGTTTAAAATTAAGTAGTTCTTATTCTGCAGAAGGAGAAGGAATTCTATTACAGTATCAAAGTCAGTAATGATTCTAACAACTAAATTTCTAACAATCGATTTAAATACATTAATATTTCAGTCAGTTGATGCATCAAATGTTACTTTTGAATTTCTGGAGTCTTTCTAAAATGCATTTTCCAGCCTGCTGTCAATCAGTATCACTCCATCACTAATTGTCTTCACTTGCTTGTCACTCATTGAAATTGTTGATGACTCACTGCATTTAGTACAGAAGATTTTATATCATGGACAAGTTATTGTGTTATTGGGTTAAATTATTGAATCTAAGGTGTTGTAACATGGTGTCGTCGTTCCTTAGTAAATTTCCTCAGTTTGGACGACTGCAATTGTCCCGGCTCTATACAAAGAAGAAGTAAATGCACAAATGTAAAGTGACTTGCTTTTGTCTCGATAAGTGGTGAACATGAATATTCTCACATCATCATCTTCTTTTCCATCGATGCAACCTAAGCAAATATAAATAATAAAAATAACATTCCCATTCTCGAATAGTATTACTTCATAGCCAGATGTTTTCATCCTTTCTTGTTTGTTTCCTCTTTGTCTTGCGACTTACTTGCGTCGGAATATTGTAACTTTGCGCCTGACTCAATTTTTCATCTTTATCCCTGTAAAATGCAGCAGAGGAGTTAGAAAGATGCGAGCAGAAGTGATAAATTATTGGTTTGGTTGTATCTGAGAATATGCAATGGCGGACGGACTGCTGTGGAACCCAAGCGTTCATTTATTCGAGTTATTTTGGCCACTGCATCACCACAGTCATCGCGCTTTTGTATTGAATGTATTACTCAGAATTTGTATAAACAAATTCTTTTTGTGCGAGGATATGTAGTTTTGGCTTTTTTGCTGGCTTCAGCAGTCCTTCTCAGATTCTGAATGATTTTTTTTACTTCTCGAATCTACCAAAAGTTGTCGAAACAGGTGCAAAAGTTGGAAACGAAACAAAATGTTCAATTTATGAGAAATGACAAATTGAATTTAGATTGCTCGCCAAAATGTCAGCATTCACACAATTATCTCGTCTGTCTTGCAATTATTCCTATTTTTTACACTCACTGGGAACTTAATTTTCAGCGTGTCGCAGTCATGAAAATTCAATGGAAACGCTTGCAAGCGGATGGTATAAATACCTTTTAATTTAAAATTTATTAATATATGGATTGACACAATGCAGCGTAGCCGAGTATGAGACGAGATGTGAAGACGAACAAATTATTTCCAAACAATATCGATACATTGCAAATGATAAATTATTACAATGGGCAGTTTTACAACACACTATAATATTTTCCAATACAAATAACAACGGGGCAATAATGAACAATGAATTGCAATCAGAAGCATATGTTCGTATACTCAAGAACTCGGAGTGATTCTGACGATGAAAATATGAAGCCATTTTGTACGTCCTTAAACTAAACTTTTCAATCATATTCATTCTGAAGAGTTGTTCATGACTTGAACAATTTGTCAACCGTGGTTAAAATATTGTTTTTTTCCGTTTTTAATGCTACCGAATAATATCGAATCAACCAAATAACTGGGGGCCAGGTGATACAATCAATAAAATCAATTTATTTTGTATGCTTCAATTAGCAATAGATTCAATTTCCACTAATCAGTCATCAAATATTTTTCTCCATTTCTCTTCTCTGACATTTGAATCTGAGTTGGCAGCATGATTTGATATTCAATTTTTCAACTCATCAATAACTTATGCGATGACTCTGCAGTCGTCGTCGTGGTGGTGAAATGAATGATTAATAATAATCAGGCGTCCTTCCTTCCTTCACAACAACGACGAAGACGTCTTAATTCCAGTCAGAGCCTGATGACGCTTGTTGCCTCTCATGCGAAAGGCGAAACGTGTGACAGGTGAAGACATTAAATGTATATTGTTCTTCCACCCACGAAATCCAATCAATTTGTTTTCTACACTCGAAAGTGAGATATGCATATTATTCTGATTATTCTTTTACCCATATTTCTGTTCATTCATTGTTGAGAGAGGTGGCAAATGTACTTTTTTATGGCTTCAAATAAAATTAATTTAGCCCGAAAAACAAATAAATGGAAGGACGAAACTCGAATTAGTGAATTCAAATCCATTATTCTTTGTGGCACAAAAAAAATGTGGAAACTCGCAAATCTTATTAAGTCGTTTCTGCACTTTTCAATGATATACATAATCCATTAATTTTGCTTAATTGTTTATTTCCACCAAGGTGTCCACCACAAACTAAACAACACGTTTGAAAGAATTGAGACGAAATTTCAAAATAAAAGTAAATCATTAGTGAATGTTAAGTATGTGACAAGCTCAGTGAGACAAGAAAATGTGTGCCGTGATGCCGTGAAGTGATGTGTGCAATTTAATTACAGAATGCTCACGTTAATTATAGCTTAGGACCTAATAGGATGAGCTTTTACTTCACTTTTCTGATTTTAGGAGGAAGAAGACAAAGTCAAATAGAGTACTTAAATACGTAGATTTCCGATTTCCTACACCTTTTGTAAGGAGATTATAGCCAGTACTCAGAGGTAATACTTCGTAAGTCTTTGCACAATAGTTAATGTCAACAGAATATAAGTACTTGTTTTCCATTAAATAAATAGAACAGAAAAATAAACCGTATACTCTTGCTTTCAATCATTGTTGTGATTTCTACTCTAAAAAATATTAACAATTTTAGAATAATTTTCACAGTTGAATTGAACCTTTAAAATCATGGCACACAGTTTACATTTTATTTAATAAAGTGGGTTTAACCCCACTCAAGTAATGCTCCACCACCCGTTGTGTGCATTATGTATCATGTCTCTGGCTTCAATTCTTCAATTCGTCTCCACCTCATAAACAAGCATCCCATAAACCATTTCAAACCATGCATAATAAATTATGTCACATTATGGCCAATCTTTTAAAGTACATATTTATTTACAATTTGGTGTCACTAACGATTGATTTGAAGATGTGCTAATGTCCTTCAATTTCAGAGTTTCTTCATTGACACAACACATTCAAACTAACATCGAAATATTTACAAGTCATGACCTAATGATATGTTTGCCCATCATAAATAATCGGCCACATTTTCAAGGCAGTGAGTCAACTAGCAGTATCAATAAATCGAGTGCCAATAAAAAGGGGCGTGCGATGTGTAATGCAAGTATTTAGCACAAATAATAGTGTAGGAAGACCATAAGACTGTCCATGGCAGCAATTATTCGCTCATTTGTTCCTTTTCATGAAATATGCGGACCAGCACAAAAATCCTTTAGAGTGATTATTATGACGAAGAAAAGACGATGTCCTGCTATTTAGTGGCATATATGGAAAAATGAGGAAATCGGCACCATAACCACCCATTCATGTGTGATTTCATGCACCTCGCCAAAATCAAACACAACTTAACTTTAATGACACATTAAGAGTTTTATAATCGAAAATGCAGAGAAGATGATGAGTCGCAATTTTCTGTTTATTATTATTGTAAGCAACTTTACCGACCGAAGGCAATTTATTCTCGCTGAATGTGTGAATTACGTATTCTTCATTTCTTTCTTCTTTCGGTTCAATTTGTTTCCTTTACAAATGTTGCGCAACGTTTTCATCCCGTGGTTTCAATAGATGCTCATATTGGTTTCTCATGGCGGTTGTTGTGTCACATTTTTATGTATGGGTTACAAGCTGTACGTGTACATAATGCTGCTTATGCCAATTGTTGTTGTTACTACATGTCACAAATTCGACCACGAAGACAAGGTAAAGTTTACTGCGGTTGACTGGGTTTCAAAAAAGTTACAGAATTTCGAGGTTTGATGATACTTGAGTTGAGTATTTGTTCTATTGATATTTATTTATTATGTTTTCTATGTGATGAAGCAAAGCGAAGAAGAATGGTGGCAACGGATGATGGTGAGACTTTGGTTGGTGTTATGATTTCATTGCCGATGAGTGACGACAAATTTTTAACTTGAGTCGAATATATTTTTATGAACGTGGTGCTTGTTTGTGTACTAAAGTACTTGCCTTACTTTCATTCTACGAGTTTTCACGACTTGAGTTTTTCAAGATTTGTTTGCTTTGCACAACTGTCAACCAATTATCACTGATTTGGGTCTTTGTCGTTTCGATTGTCACATTCAAAGAAAACATCGTCGAAGGTGGACGCTTCTCCTACAACATATTCTGTAAATACGTTTAGCAGATCGCGTTATAGTCAAGCATATGCACTCGTATTAGTTTTGAAAATGGACATGAAATTGGGCCAGTCTCAGCTTGATGATTGCATAATTGCGTTATAAAAATACGAGTAACTTGCTCAACTTTTCTAGCTTTGATGGTTCAAGTATAATTCATGCGAAGATGAGCATCACATGGTTTTGAAATGGGTGTCAAACTTGTTTCATATATAATTTCACATGTGATTTATTAGAATAATAAAGATGAACTACTTTTAACGTTTGAACAAACTACTCGACGTAAGAAATTTCAAAAATCACTATCTCGATTAAATTAGATGCTTGATCAAGTATCACCTTTTTTCGAAATAGTAAATATTGATTGCAACAAAGTGGGAAATGTTGCAAGAGTCGCTTTTGATGATGTCCATGTTTCTTGTCTCGCCGAGATCAATTGCACTTCTCAATAACAAAATAATGTATGCATATACGATAATAGTAATACCGTTTTTTGCTGGTTTTTGTGTATCTGAAAAAAAAGACGAATCATGCACCGCTGTTGAATAGAAAGCAAGCCGATCAATTTGATGATAGAGTCTGATATTGATCTGCTCCATGTGTATCATCCCAATCCTCCAAAATTAAGGATCAAACAAAAGAATTCTTCCTTTCACAAAATCTGTATGTAGGACATCCCGTTGAATAATATGGATTAAATAAGATTGAGCTTATGCCATTCAATATTGTTCGCAGATATGGTACACAATTAGAATTATGTGAATTGCCCGGAAGTGCCATTGTCACTTTGCAAAAATTGTACATATTTAACGGGGAGAAATAATATGTGATTTGTTATTGAAAGACTAGTTTTATGCTAATCAGCAATTCTGACGTGGTCCACAGGTGCACGACGGGTTTTGAAAGTGAGGAAGACTGGAGAGTTTGGCAGAAGGATAGCACCGTCGCTCTCTCAACTGTACGAACCCCCGAAGCGTGTCTCAAGTTTGGACCCTTTTTTGCAGACATCCGAGACGCGAAATTCTGTCAGCAGTGTGAATGGGATAAGAAAACCGAGCCAGAAATTGGAACTCCCATCGTTTGACTTGGACTTGCAATCGGATTCGGTGCCTGCAGAAACGGGAGAGAGTTTGCAAGGCTACGCGTATCCTGACCCTGACTCGGAGGGAGCAGCAGGAGGATATGATTTCAATCCCATGAAAGTCAAACATCCGGCCGTCGCTGAGTATCCGGAACCTGATCCAGAAGAAAGACAACGGATTGAGGAACCTCCTGTATGTGACGACCAAAAGAGACGCATTATTATTTTTACAGAGAAAATCGAAACTTTTTATGCTGACGCAGTGACGCGTAAGGCCAAGCGTTTTGTCAAGCTTTAATAAATCCTTGTTGATGTTTTAGGCAAATGTCGTTCCCCAAGTGGAAGCAGAGTTCGTTCTTCCACCCAAAGCATTTGGAGCTGAGACTGAGGAACATATTGACTCTGAGAGACAACAACGCCCAGAAAATTCGTCACCAAAACCAGTTTCGACTCGTCCATCCGCTGAACTAAGTTGTAAGCAATTTCACCCATGTAGTTCAATGCTAAATTTGAAGACAAAACATTATGTTGTGGTATTCTTATTATCTTCGATATATGTATTTCGATATAATTTCCATATTTTCCAGCTCAATCTCAGCAATCACAGGATGGTCAAGCATGTGGTGAACATGATCATGAGTGTTGGCCACATGGTTATCAAGGAGAAATTCCGGGAGAAGCAGGAACGGATTATCCCATCTTAAGGGAAATTGTGGATACCCCGTTTGACTGCGATAACGTTCAGTACTCTGGCTACTACGCGGATGTGGACGATGCCGCTAGATGCCAGATTTTCCACATTTGTCTCAAAGGAAATGCATATCGAAAGACGCAGAAATGGAGTTTTCTTTGTCCTAATGGCACGGTCTTCAGTCAAGAGAATTTTGTGTGTGTTTGGTGGCACTCCGCTCCAGAATGCAATACTGGTCTCGTGGATGAGCTTTCTCTGCGAAATGCTGAACTGGGATGGGATAATCTGACAGATACCGAGTCACGTTCAGTTGGGGGAAACTTTGACGTCAAATCTGCCATGAATTCGCTTCGAAATGGAAATCTTCAAGCAAGTGGGAGCAGTGACTCTAAGCCAAATATTGTTGCAGTTCCCACGACGAGAAGACCACCATCGTCACGAAATAATGCAATCCCATACCGAGTTCCAGTGAAAGTTAATGCAAGAACCCAGTTGAAGGAAGTTGCTGGAAATGGGCTACAAGATGAAGGGAATAAAGCGAGAGGTGGGGAGGCTGAGTACACGGGAGAAGAAACCGAAGCTTATGAAACCAGTCTGAGTCACCAATCTGAAGCTCGAACCAGATCAAAAACGGCATCTGAACTCCACAAATCCGGATCCGAAGCATATGAACAAAAATCAGTGTCTGACTCTGTGGCACCATTCGTTGTAAACAGAACACCTGGTGATTACTCCAGCCCCGTCACCAGTAGCCAAGACCCCCTTCAGGTTGTCCAGCAAGGAGAATTTGCAGATGAGGAAGGAGTGCCTCAAGTGGTTATGATGTCTTCCCAGCAAAAGAATCCCGATGGATCGGAAGGTTATGCTGAGGTCCCTGTAATGGGATACCGATATCCAGTCCCCACTTCTCCACCCGGCTCATACCTTCCACCACGGAGTGAATTTGTAGCACGAACAACCACCACGACGGAATTGCCCAACACGACAACTTTCCTTCCAGTCACCGAGGACTATGTGGAAGAAACTGCAGGTCAAGAAGGGTATAATTACCCTACGCCCGATAAGTCGGCCGCCTTTGTGGAGCCGACTACTGAGGGTGGCTACAACTACCCGGCTCCTTCTCCAACAACCCAACAGCCTGATGATGGCTACAACTATGTGGCCCCCACGACAACCAAGGATCCTGTAGCATTTCAGGAGACCGAAGCCAGTCAAACTCCAGAAATCGAAGATGGTGGCTATGCCGCATATGAGCAAACTTCTACTTTTACTCCCGATACCACTACTACGTCCACCATTCCAACCACGACCACACCAACCAGCTCACAAAATCTGGAAGCAACTGCGGCAGCTTATCTCCCACCACCGACGACCACGGAGGAACGAGGAGGTTATGACCTCGGTCCCACTCGGTCATCAGCCTCCGCCACGATTCTATCCAAAGATGCCAATTTGCGGCAATTACCCACCACCACAGACACAACCGTTGGGGATGAACAATTAGCCTCCAAATTATCCGTCACTACGAACCCAGAAAGCGAGGACTACACCCACGCAGGCCTCGACCTGTCCACCCTGACTGGGGAAAATTCCGTGAGTGAAAGTGAGTCTGAACCTGGAGGCTACTCTGACAAATCAACCATGTCTTACACCACTCCAACGGCGTCGGGTCCAACAACTGGAGACGCTTTAGGTACTGTCACATGTTACTTATCTGCTCTATGTAATAAGACAAGAGTTTTATGCTAATAAAAAGGTGCAGGTATGTAGCTCGAGTAAAACTTTCTCCTCTTTATTCTCGCGCAGATACCCAGGACGAAAAAGTTAACAAAATCTTGCAAGAAATACAATCCGGAGGAGCCGAGGTGAGAGATGAAAATGGAAAAACGCTTAATTTCGAAGAGTTGAAGAAACTCATCCTGTCAACTCCCAACGGATTGCTGTCACTCCAAAAAGCGGATGATGACTCGGTTACGCCAACAGACTCCTCGCTATCCTCGTCCACGGAAGCTTCCACCACAACCCTGGGGCAGAGGGAAGAACAAGATGTTCAGAATGAAGAACAAGAGACTGAGCTGGTGGCAGCTCCCAAAGGACTCGAAGAAGTGCAAGGCATTGAAGATACTCCTGCCCCACCACCTTCCGCACTTTATCTCCCAGTTCAACCAACAGCTCAGCTCCAATCCTTACCTCAACAAAGCTATTTTTCTAATGATCGACTCGTGTCTATAAAACGCCCAGGATTCGAAATTTCAGCACCATCCAAAGAATATGAAAGCCATCTCGTCCAGAAAAATACGCTTGAGCTAAACAGCAATCCTAATCCGTTTTCCGGATTTACGTCATTCCAACCAGAGACGAGACAATCCCATCAAAACGTTGTCAATTACGCAACACCAACCAGAAGTCCGTTTGATCAACATTATGCAACCTTGCAAAACACAAAAGCTCCTCAACTATACTATCAGCAATCAGAACAACAACCACAACAACAGCAATTCAGAGTTCAGCAATCTCAACAAGCCCCACCTTCAGAAGTCGACTTTCTTCGATCTTCTGACCCACAATCCCAGCAGCAACAATATTATCAAACTCAACCTCAAACCACTCAGCAACTGAATTCTAATGCCGAAAACTTTTACTTTCCACAACCTCAAACTCGCTCCCAAGCCTCACCACCACAGCCACAATCCTCCCAATTTAGATTTCCAGATGAACCAAGAACACAAGCACCGCACCACCAACAACAACAACAGAAGCAGCAATATTTTCAACCCAACCCGACCTCAGAATACCTGCCCCCACCACCTTCAACCCCAGCTCAGTTTTACTCCCCTGCTCCCACACAATACAGGAACGAAGTCCCCTCCACACGAGACCTTACCAACAACATTCAGCTCCAACAAAGCTTCTCGTACCCACTTCCACAGCCTTCTTCCATAACCAACACCAGAAATCTGCCCAGCCCACTCGACATCAAAATCGTCCCTGCTCTTCTTGTGAACACGCACACACGGGTTGAGCAACCCAACAACAATTACAATAACAATCAACAACGCAAAGTGGAGGGTGGCAGACATTATGACAACAACTTTCGTCAGTTTTCTCAACAACAGCAGCAGCAACAACAAATACGCAATGTCAACAACAATGCAAACCAATACCTTCAGTATAGCTCCCAGTCGGAAAATCGCCCAGTGAAAGTTCAAGCTCCAAGACTGAATCCGTTTACCGTCGATGATGCTCTGCCAAAGCATGAAAGGTTTACCATGCAGGAGAGTCGAGCTGCAAAGCAAGTGATGGAATATCCTTCACCTTCTTTGCATGGGAGGTTAGTCCAGAGGGGGCCAACAACGACTAGGCCAACTCAACATCCCCCCACGACGAGCAGACAGTTGACGACGTCGCCGAGCTTGAGACATTTCGGTGGCGTTGGGGGGAGGGGCTACTTAGGACAGCTCTCGGAACAAAATTCACTATCCAATTTCTATCCTGGACGGGATAACTCGTTAGGAGTTAAGTTGACCTACAACTAAATCCAATATGCAAATTACTAATGGTTGTAAATTATTAAATTTTTCATTTGTTTGAGCTGTTTGGTGTGACTTGGTTGAGTCAATATGCACTTCAGCATGTACTTATTTTGTTGATTTGTAATTCTTCTGACTTGTATCGACTGTAAAAACTGTGCTTGGGATGGATGTTCAATGCAAGATGGTGTAAATAATTTCTAGTTGAATGTTGTGGATCCTCAATAAATAGCAGCATTATTTTAGTAAGTTGTAGTAAGCCACTTCCGATAATTTGTAATAAAGTATGTGCGCGTGTGGTTCTTTTAGTTGTGACAGTTTGTAAGTAAGCGTGCATCGAATAACATTGTGTGTAAATTCCTGGTCAGTTAATATAGTTTCGCAATTATTATTATCAGTTTTATGATGTGCAATTTTAGTGTGAAAATAAAATATTGAAGACTTTTGGTGGAAATATGCATTCTCATCGTGATACTTACATAATAACTGTGTGCATGGTTTAGGGTTGTTGGGGTTTTAATTTTTTATACAGCTTTTATTCTCTACTTGATAAACATCAGCAGCACAGGTACATCAAATTATGTACAGTAAAGTAAATATAGTAAATCTATTTCATACAGGTAAAATACAGAGTTTAATCACATTCTACGCTCTACTAAATACACTGATAAATTTTCTACAATCAACAATATAATTTACAACAACTACGATCTACATCATATTTTTACTTGCTAGTTGATGTTATAGGTCAAACCGTGGTGTTCCATAAGTAACATCAGCACTAGCACATATAATTAGAGAGAAAGTGACACCAAACTTCAATACTTTACAATTCTACAAGAATATGTGCAAATACAGATAATATACACAATGGATAGAAAGAAGGAAGCTTTTCACCAACTTTACGCTGAATCCTACCACATACTTAACTTAAAGAAGACGTCGTCTATCCATATTAAGGAGAGAAAAGTGACATATACTGTGGACCGCTTTTAGGATGTAGTAATAGTAACATACAGTTATCGGATATTAAATAAATACTCGTGCAGAGTCAGTGTTTCATGAAAACTGCGCAGTAATAAGAACCATGTCTAAACCTACAGGTAAATAAATATGTAGGTGCGACATATCCAGATTTCAATTCTTTTGTAGTGCCGAGTCGTCCAATTTGCTGCTCAACAGCATTCAATCTCGAAATTGAACTTGTGTAGTAGTGCATTTTAAAATTTCATATGCTTTCCTAGCTTCATACACGTATTTACATAGTAATGAATATGATAACACATTCCCTGAATGGAAATCCTTAAAAAAAACTTTCCCTCATTTCTTAAAAGCTTGGAAAGGTTTCAAAATTTCCATAAAGCTTTCAAGCTAAGCAAACAAAATGGCAACACAGAAATTACGTATGTATATATTTCGTATTCATAAAACTTTGACTAGACAATTTTTCAAAAGTACTCCCACTCAATTTTTGTCTTACATTGAAGTTCAGTGAAGGTGTGAGAACCAAGCAAATTTTCAATTGCAAAGGTAAATTCAAGTCCTCATCCTTATAAGTAAATTGTCCATCATACATAAAACCATTCATCACACAGAACTAACACTGCTGCATACAAACTATACACATCTACAAACACGGGAAATTATACAAAAACTTTCTCATTTCCAACATCTACGACGACGATGAATATAATCAAATCTGTATGCTCGTGCAGATTCAGCAGAGCTAGCAAATTGTGTTTCTTTATTTCGTGAGAGTTTAGTTGTGGGGTGTTGTGTATATGTATTATTAGTTTTGAGGTGGGTGGTGAGGTGAAAATTAAGTGCACACCCTGCTGCTCTGCTGCATACCTTGGTAATCTAATTATTATTACAGTCAACTGGATACCTGGGGGGCTGTGCGGCTGAAATATAGCTGAAACTCTTGTCTGCGTAATCCTGACAATCTCCGAAACCTCGAATGTTCTTTGGTAATGGGGGCAATCATTTATAAATCTCGACAGATTGGAGAATAGTGCCTCATGCATTATTTCAGGGGAAAGCAAGTCGGGTCTGGGGAAAGCTGAGATCTGTGTAGAATTTTGACAGCAATAACATCTCTCATCTTGTTACTGCTGTAATTTCCTGATAAATTCAGCCTACAGTAAAGACAAGTGATTGATGTGATTTAATGCTGCGACTTGTTTGCACACACGCCGATACTGTTGTTTGTTATGCCAGAAGCACTGAGCAGAACAAACGGAACTGGTACTTTATTTTCTTACAATCTAGCGAAATAGAGCCCAAGCTGACTGAAAATGATCATGTTGAGGTTTGTCGATAGGAAATATTTGTGCTGTCGATTAATACCGGTGGTGCTATCGTGGGGGTGACCTTACTTCCTTCCTATACAGACTGGTAGTCAAGTCAAAAAGAATTCTGCTGGTGGTGTGCGATTGTTTGTGTTTGACGTCATACTCTTTTCTCTGCTTAAATTGAATGAATTACATTAAAAACCGGAGGGATCCGTAGGCAGAGAGTGTAGGTGTTCGTTCCTACATTGGCTACAGTTTGGGTTCTATTGAGATTTATTGTTTTCGACAAACATCCGCTAACATTTCTCTCCTCCTGCCTGCACACCTTTACACCTTTCTCCCTCCTAAACTTTCCCTATCTTTCATTCACTGGATTGGGTTTCACTCTACAACGTGATGTACTTACATATACTTTATTTCCACTCGAATTATTTTTACATTCTCAGTCGACTCATCTACTCGACTTTAATTCATATATCATCGTCTCAGTCCCTCCCACATATTTATTTATTTATTTAGTTGATAAAGCTGTATTTTATTTCTAGAATAGCATTCCTAAGATTACATTTTACATTTATGGTGACGTATCTATCCATTTTATAGCCTATGTCTACAGCATCATGCTGCTGGGTCACATCAATTTGTGCAAAAATAAAAATAAAATACAAAAATGTACAACTCTCAAGGTAGGAAATAAAATTAAAGAGTTGAAAAACTACTGACATGCTTAACTGTGCGAAGAATTTAAATTTATGATGACGGGCTACCACCCACCTCCCTCCATCACATGGTTCTACCTCCTCCTTACTTTCTCCGACTTATTTTATAGACTAACTTTACAATAGGAGAAATCTACTTCTCAGAAAAAACATGGTTTTTTGACTTGACGATAATTTACTTGTTCAGGATAAGTAAGATAAATGTTGGGCTTGCTTGCGGACTTGTGCAGCTTCTCTCGCAAGTGTATTTTTCAAAAGGTTTTTCAAAAGGTGACTACGGTTAGGTATTTAATTTAGTTCGTCTATATTGGTATAGCATCAACAAGGGGTTTGGTTACATACTTCACTAGTAGACTACACATAACTTACAATTAGTTTTAATATCACGTCAAATCACCACGAAGTATAGTTCATCATTTCAATCGATCAATTCTAAATGGTTGCATCAAACATTTTTTGTGAATTTCTGAACAACTATTATTTCTATTCATGGTCAACATTCATATCAACTATTACTTAGAATTAAACAAGTTGACTGGCAGAAAATATTTTGCAATTCTCTGGATCAAAACTACACAATATTTATTACCCCAAAAAATCGGAATGAATTGAAAAACCGGATACAGGATGGAATGGCAGATGGAATTATAATTTGACATATAGAATCGAAAAGGGCATATTTACACGACACAGGGGGAATCCACTAGACAGAAACCATACGTCCACCCACCTCTGACAGAACATGATTATTATTTGTCAAGATGAAACAGAGTCATTTCAATCTTGCGAAATGTTTCCTGACGTCAAGCTGATCCATTAACTAGCACGAGGCAAAAGTTCAAAGGGAGCCTCGATGTCAAGTAATTTAAATAAGTCTACGTAGTGCTTGTTGGATTTTAAAATGTGAATATTCGAGGAAATCGATGTTCGATTTTGTTCATTGATATTTAGTTCGTGAGCAATATGTAGTAGCAGAACCAGAGATGATGGGAATTAATTGTCAAGTCGAACCGATCCAAAGTTGGACTCGGTCGGTATAGCAGACAGGCAAATGAGAGATGGGACTAGCGTTAGATTGAATGGAATGGAAGTTGGCTTGGATGGAAAATTTACCAAGTCGCAAATGTCTGGCACTGGAATTGAATGTGGTTAGTTGAAAAGATCGCTTGTTAGGTTTCTGAATATTTTGCAATTCAGAGCTTAACGGAATATATAGATTCAAAATCAGTGTCAAACTCAACGTTTGTGTAGGTTGAAATGAATACAAATTGGGTAATTATTTTTCAACAAAAGAATTTGCATGAGAAGTATAAACCTACAGATAATTGATTTCTGTCTTGTTGTGGTTTACTTTTAATTTAGTTTAATCAATGCATAACCGAGTTACACAATCTGTTTGTGTGGTGATTCGAGAAATGGACTGTAGGAGGTGGGTCGACGTGGAGCTACAATAGTGGGTTTCGTTTGTTTGGACAATAAGATTAACCAGACTTTCCCTTACTCATGGTAAACTTGCTTGAACTATTTAATTATTACATGGTCACAAGCAAGTTATTTTGCTGAATGTAATCGACTTTTCTCAAATTTAATTGCTAAGTCTTCCAATTGCGTGATTCCAGTTCCAATTGATTCCTACATTTCCGTCCCACTTATGAAATACACACATATTTTCCTAGCGAGTGGGTGACATATACTTACTTACTTAACAAGTTTAACCTTTACGAGACAAGAAAGGTGAATAGTTAAGAATGATGAGGATGAATAAATACTACCAGAAAAATTGAAGTGTTTTTCGTATGATTTATCGTCTTCGGCGTCGACCAATTTTCTGGAGTAGATCAGCATTCAACATGATTTGATTTTGAGATTGACGCATTTTTCTCCTAAAAAATATGTACATACATAATCAATTTATGACAAAGGAAAACTGTTGTGCTCAACGCAAAGATGCAAATGTCCTGCTCACTTACCTCGCGATTTCTAGCAACAAACGCTGTCTCAGTACATCCTACAATGAGAAGAATGAAACGAATGGATGAGAATATAGATTACTTTGATGGAGTGACTGTTTAAAAATATAAATCAATTGTTTAATTTAAAGAACAAAGTTGCTACTCACCAATGGGTTTACTATGGACAACGATGGACCACCAGAATTTCGCCGCATTCTCTGCAAGTAAAAGCATTGATTGTAAGTATTTATAATGCTTTGTAACATCTAGTATGTAGGCAATAAAGACAATAAACATTAAGTATTTGGGCATTTAGTAGATAAACAAAAAATGTATCCAGAAATTTAGGAAACCGACGGGGAACATACATATCGTATTAAGCGTTATATTAGAGATAAAGTTATGATCATATTACCAAACTGTCATGTCCACTCAAACTATGGTATTAAAATTACAACTAGGGCATCGCTAAAAGATTTGCAATTAAGTAATATTCGGACTTGACATGAGTTGGCTTAGGGAGCAGGGGGAAGCGTCAATGTTGGCCGATGGGATATCCTCTACTTGAACTGGACAATCCAAGAATACTAAATACAATACCTTACAATTTGGCATTTCATTCAAAGTAATTCTTCCAGTCCTCTGGGATCAGAACAACTTGGTTCGTGACACTATGGAATTCACGACCTTTCGAATTCAGGAATTTGTGTTTTCCTGCAACACTAATTTCACAGCAGTGACCGCATTTTGTGTACGTCTACATATTTCTATGTAAGCATGACATTGTCATCAACAAAGGATGTGATACATTTTTTCTACGGTGCATGAATACGGTCATACAGACTCATGTGAATAAAGCCTTTCACTTTATGCAAATACAACATGGGTAAATTCACATGGCGAAAATATGAATTTCTCTTTTAGAATTTATTGGAAATGCTATTTATATTTGCACAATATTTGTACATACAGCACTCCGTTCCGTTGTACTCCGCATATGTATGTACATAAATATGTAATATGCTATCCATGAATTTTGTCCCAATTCATCTCATATTCAATAGAAGCGTGTGGGCGTCATACTGCATATTTTGTTGATAGATTGGATGGAATTAACCAACGTGATGATATCTTGGTGATTTCGTCTCAAGATAAGTTGGCTAAATTAAATTGGTGCCTAAAATGTAGTATCTAATTAAAATGGAGAGAAAGTGACCTTTGAGTATGTTTATTTGCACCCCACCTTTAACCCAACACTGGCACTTTGAGAAGGAAACCGTAATAAGTCATGCTACAGGAAACCCTGTGCGTTTAGTGCATACTTATGTATTTATTTATACATAAAGGTTGTGCTATATTCTGAAAGTCAGTGTAATCAAATTAATCAATTTACAAATAACGATTCAGTTTAGAAAGGAGAAAATCCGAAGTTTTTTAAAATTATGAAACCACAATGTTGGTGGTCATTGCTCCAGCCTTGTTCTTGCCCTTGAACATGAGAATGTTTTATAAAGTTTTATGTCGCAGTGAACATAAATAGATCATGGACAGGAGGACCACACTAGAATCTATTTTGAAAATTAAACTTATGTAACTGCTCATGCAGTCAGAAGAAATGTTACAGTGCATAAATATGAGATGCACTAGAATGATCTAACCGCGAAATCTAATATCCGTTGCTGGACAGGGAATGATCATGGCGGCAGAGGGACAAGCAAGGATAATTGGGAACGCGAGAATCCACTTCCTGACAAATATTGAAAGATCTGCTACAATAAAGCACCCGAGTATCAATAATATCATTTCCGTATAACGCTAATGGATCAACAGTAAACTCGTTTTCAGGAACAATGAAGGCCGTCTTTGTTCAGACGAAGAGTGAAGAAGAAATCAATCATAATTATTCCCTTTGTTCCGTGATATCGGATCGTTTGTGGTTCTTATATAGAGTCGAATAAATAAATTCAAGTAAATGTTTAACATTTATTTGACTAAATTTAACCCCAGCTTTGTGTTACTACATCCCGTTTATAGTGCATATGGGTTAGAAAAATAGTCCCTTATCCCTTAACCTTTTTCCTTAACTTATCCGCCAGATTTGCTATTTTGGACATGCAGGATGTCTGGGAGCCTTCACCAAGAAAAGCTGGCAAAGAAGCCGAAGAAAGCGACGGTTGGAGAGAAAGAAAGAATTTGATTGTACCTGTTGCTGCTGCAGAGGTTGCGGGGAAGCGTTGGAGTTCCACTCGGTGAGGAGGTAGAGATGCGGATCGATGACCGTCTCCCAGTCCGCCTCCGACGACCCCAATTCCGCTCCCCTCGCCGAATTTGGCTGATGGCAAAGCAGAAAGATTATTTATGTGAAGTAATAAGCAAGAGGACGAGTGTGCAGCAGGCAAATATGGACGTGCTCCCTTCTTAATTGCAAACTCCATTCAAGGAATAGTTCAGCAGCTCATCCTTATGTGAACAACCTCTCAGACATGCAAATTCAACATTCATCAGTTATGCAAAATGCGACTTGGTGGAAAGATAAACTAAGAAAGAGGTCTTTGCATTTTTTGACTGGATTACTTTAAATAAATAATTTTTGCAGCATCTTTTTAATTCGCATAATTTTGATAGTTAGAAGGTATGTACAACTACCCCTTTGTGATCTGTAATAATTTGGGCCTTTTCCTTTCTAAAATAAAGTTTAGCTTTATTAAGTAGCTTCAGCTACTTTATGTGAAGACTTTGTCCGTCTGTCCGTCTGTCTGTCCGTCTGTCCGTCTGTCAGCAGGATAACGGGGGAACGGAACGAGATAATCGAAATCGGTTTTCGACATTATACTTATGACCCCAGGGGGAGGATCCTATCAACTTTTGGGGCCACAGGGACCTCCCCCTTGGCGGCAGGGGGTGTGGTCGGGGCAAAATGAGATCTTTAGTGAAATTTGATCTATAGATGAAATAGAGTGAAATTAAGTGATCCTGAGTTTTGCCACGCCCCCTCGGCTCCAGGGGGTGTGGTCGGGGTAAAGTGAGATTTTTACAGAAATTGAACATATAGATGAAATACAGTGAAATTAAGTCTTCCCGAGTTGTGCCACACCCCCTCCCACCCAGGGGGTGTGGTCGGGGCAAAATGAGATTATTTCAAAAATTGAAACCATGAATGAAATATAGTGAAATCGAGTTTGAAATCGAGTTGTGGGAGTGGTTGGGGTGAAGTAGTCTGAAGCTACTTCCGTATGCGCGTTTGCGACGGTTTATTCTGCCAAAAACTCGTTTTTGGCAAATTATTTGTCTCTTCGTTAATTTTTGTTTGATAATTGCAAACGAATATACAATTAATATGCTAATATCGTCAACAATTGATCAAGTACAAGTAATGAATTACGGCAAAACCAAGCAAGCTGCTAGATACACAAATATTCAATACACTAACACTGCTTTACAAAATCCCCCCTGGTGGCTTTGGGTCATTATTTTTCATCTAAAAAACACTTTTAAAAATTTGTTTTTTCTATCGCGTAAAATCGTATAGTTCTAATTACATATTACTCTAATAATCAGAGAAGAGCTAACGATACGTAAACTATGAAATCCTGAAACGTTGCCGATAACCTGCTCGTGATTTACATTTTTACTCCAATTGCTTAGCACAATTTTGCAGAAATACATGCAGCCACTTAAGAATCACTTTCTCTAAACAAATAAACATGTTCTGCTAATTGCAGTAAACCTTAGGAAAACAGGATACGTAGATGTTGGAGAGTGGTTTATATCAACCTCCAAACTGCTGGATTTAATGAAATTATAATCAAGTTATGATCCGTCCAACTCATTACAGCAAATGCCCCGAGACATTTTCAGAGTAAAGAATAAGAAAAGTGCTGCCCTGCACACGACGAGAACGGAAATGGGGATGTTTGAGAAAGTAATTTTGACGACGACAATGCCTATCATACGACTGGAGATGAACGGGTTCCAGCTTTCACCACCCCCGTCTTCGAGTATGGAGAAAGGTTGAAATGCATGTTAGGTACTTGCTTCCTGGGCTGCCACCATTAACCGCCGTGTACAATAATATTTTAACAATAATATTTGCGAGTCGCTCCTCCCCGCAGAGGATGAAAATTTATGAAATTAATTTTATGTAAACCATCCATGTTTCATTAGGCCATTGACGTCACTTCCTTCCTACCTTCGTAACTCGCTGCAAATCTTAAGCAATACTGACTGAATAATCTGCAATTTCTGCAGTTAGCTTCCACTAATAGTTGTTTCTTCTACAATTAACTCTTGTGTCTGCTTTTCCCAAAGGAAACAATTTACAATCCAGCTTGCAGAGGTGCTTAGAAATCCGCCTTCAGCTCAACCAACCGTACACAATACTCCAATACGGGGAAAGTTCTCTCCTGGTGCCAACAAAAAATTGCTGAATTAACTGATTCAGACTTATATGAAAGAAGGAGCACAAAGGTTTGCTTGAAGTGCTGGGTTGATTGGTGGTCAATATTATGACGCACGTGCTCTTTTGTGCTCCGTTCTAGTTAATTGCTATTGAACCATGAAAGGATAATTCCGAAGTGGAGACATCCTTTCTCATTTGGCTGATGACTTGGAGAAATATACAGTCGTTTTAGCCCGAGTCAGGGCTTATGGAACCATCATGTCCGTCCGTCCGTCCGTCCGTCCGTCCGTCCGTCCGTCTGTCCGTCTTACGATAACTCTCGTTAAACTCATCCTATCGACTTGAAATTTGCTACACATGTAGTATGGGGCAAATGAGGAGTTAAGTTCGAAGATGGGCGAAATCGGTCAAGTGGTTGACCAGTGGGGGTCATATAGGTGGATGGGGTATTATGCATCAAAATTTCAAAATTGTCATAGAAGGCAGAAATTTGGCACTGAGGTTGCTAATGGTGTCTAATGAAAGAGTATGAATTTAAGTTGGAAAAAATTTTATTTTGAAAGACCCTAGGGGGTGACCCATACTGATTTGTCAAAATCGTCATATCGAGTTGAAATTTGGTAGATAGGTTGCGTATGGGGTTTAAGGAAGAACATTAAATGAAATTGGTCAAATTTTTTATCTGGAGGGACCCGAGGGGGTGACCCATATCGATTTTTGATAATCATTTAATTGAGCTGAAATTTACCATTGACGTTTCTAATAGCTCCTAATGAAATAATATGAAGTTAAATTAGTAAAATTTTTATGTGGAGCGATCCTAGGGGGTGGCCCATACCGATTTTTAGGCCTTTTAAGATGGCCTTATAGATTTACCAAGATGTCTGTCTGTCCGTCCGTCTGTGCGTCCGTCTGTGCGCACGATAACTCTCTTTAAACAAAAGCTATCGACTTGAAATTTTGCACACTTCATCTTCGGGTCAAAAGTAAGGATGAGTTCGGAGATGGGCATGATCGGCCAAGTAGTTGGCCGGTGGGGGTCATTACTATCCAAATGCGTTGCCCTTAACTACCAAGAACCTTTAGAGCAGGTTAAATTATTTAAGTGCAAGTAAAATATTTGTAGCTTGAAAAATATCTATAGTAATAATTTTCAGTAATTTTAGTATGAAGATTGCGACTGACCTCAAAGCGTTTAAATTGGAATGGAGTTTCAGAAATTTTAAACCTGGGAGACCCGATAGGGTGACCCGACGGATTTCTAAAATTTGTAGTACGTAGTTGAAATTTGGAACAAAGGTTGCTAGTGGATTGTAACAGAAAAAACTGAATTTAGGTTGGAACAATTTTAATCTCGATGGACCCTATGGGGTGACCCATACTGATTTTTCAAAATCGTCATATCGAAGTGAAATTTGGGAGAGAGGTGATCCATATCTATTTTTAGAAATTGCGTTAAAAACATGAAATCCGGCACGGTAATACTTACAATTAGTGGCTTCTCATCAAAGAACTTGAAATTAAAAGTTAGCTAACAAGGGATACTTTCGAGGTGATAATCGTGTCCAGGGTACCACTCATTGGTCTAAATGTTTTTTGATCGAGTGTTTCTCACGGGTTCGGGTTCTTACTTCGGGTTTCGGGTTCGGATCGGGTTTGGGTCCTGCTTCGGATACGAAATTTCAGAACCCGAAACTTTCGGGTTCGGGTTCGGGTTCGGGTTCCGACTAAGAACCCGAAACCCGAACCAACAAGAACTTTTTGCCACAACGAATACGAAAACATTAAAAAAGAAAATAAAGTGTTAACCACACTTGCTACGACGGTTATGCTGCAGTAATTCATTAAATAATTCAAATTTTTAATTGTCGTAACTTCTTTTCACAAGTGTCTTCAATTAGTGTTATGGTTTGAATATTGAAATAAAATATATTTTTTTATCAAAAATTTGCTAAATAGTTAGCTTGAGCTTACTTTAATATTGGAAACTTGAAACTGAAAATCATTTTCAGTTTTCAACTGATTTAAAAATTTCTGAATGTCACGGAAAGCCATTATCCATGGTCGATTTTTTGAGATTGCATTATTATGGTCGAGGAATTAAGATTCACATTTTAAAATGCGTTATGTACTTATGCAGAAATGTGCTTAATTATAATTCCTCGGTCATATTTACAGAAGTATTGTTTGTTTGAAACCTTTAGGCTAAAAAGCCAGTCACCCCTTAAAGTTAAAATATATTCGGTTTTTCGGGTTCGGGTTTCGGATTTGATCCGCCAGTTCGGGTTCGGATCCTTGCAAACGGGTTTCGGGTTCTTCGGGTTCGGGTTGCCCTCAAGTTTCGGATCAGTAGTATCGGGTTCGGGTCTCGGATTTGCAAGAACCCGACCCGTGAGAAACACTAATACCCATCTTCGAACTCGGTCGTTGCCCAGATGCATGTCTGTATCAAATTTGGTAAAAATCAGCCTACTCCTTCGAGAGTTATGGAAAGACAGACAGACGGACAGGTCGATTACATAAGCCCTAGTTCGGGCTAAAAATTATATGCCAATCGTTCATTAGAGTCTGGCTTTTATGTAATAATGCCGTCTTAAAAGGCCCCGCGAAGTTGCTTGGAGTAGGTTTTATAAATTGTCTTAAAAAGATGAAATTCGGTATGGTGATACTTAATGGTCTCGTATGGAAGTATATCAAGTTAAAAGCGAACAAAGTGGAACCAGAGTAGCCTAGGGGGTGACCCATACCGTTTCTAAAAGTAGCTATTTTAAAAATTGGTAACTGATATTCGAGAAATTGGTCATACTTGAATTGGCGAGATGAGAAGAAATAAAATTAAAGTGAAAGCTATTCATTGCGTTTTCTATACAGTTCAAAAAGGCACGCAAAAAGGCAAATAGGCAAATAGCAACAAATAGCAACAAGGCTGACTTTTTGCACACACTGGTCACCCCCATTGGTTTGGAAAACGGGCGTAGACGACTAAAAGTTGGCGTGGTCCTGCAGGGTTAGATTAGCTTAATAAATGTAAAGTAAACTTTAAGATTTTTTTTCTCTTGTATGCAACACCCTGGTCGATCTGATTTCATGTTTTGAAATTTCAACTGAATGCCTAATTTAAAGTTGTAAGAAGTTTCACTTTATCAAAAAGAATAATCTTAAATTTTTCTAATTTCGCCCACGCTCTAAAAAGTTAGAAAAGAATGTCCAGCAGTTACGGATTCGATATTGGCCCAAAAAAGAAGAAGAAAACCTGGACCCCCTACTTTACTCAAGGTGTAGAAACTAAAACTTAAAATTCCAAGGATTCTTCTTTAGTCAAGCAGAAGGTTTATTGGAACGAAAACTTGTTAATTTGAACGCAGAACAGTAACGTTTTTTCGACTTTATTGAATTGAAGTGAATTGCATGTTCGTCTATGTGCTTACTTACTCAGAGAGATCCACTCGTTCTCTGAATTCTTTTACTACGTTATTGCAGTTACTGTACTTGCTCCTTCAGCCTCAGAAATTGGCGATGAGTACATTCTCCAGCCTGACCATTCTGCTCAACCTCTCCGAGGACCAATTGAATTAGCCTCGTTGATCGAATTGGTTATCATCAATTGGCATCACGGTCCAAGACTCTTCCAACAAAGGAGCCAACTAATGAGGTAATGCCTTAACATAAACTTTCCTAAAATTCATTCAAGCTGCGACCGAGTAGAATTCTAAAATTAGCAGGGCAGCAAAGCTCCAGTTTCAATTTTATGACATTTTCTCTGCGCAGGTAACATTCATTTACACATTTGTGTTACTCCTACTCATTCTCGGCCAGGTGCCTTGATTCTTAAATAACTTTAACCCATCCAGGCTAAAAGTTACCTGTGACGCAGAAGTGTATCACCTTTCAACACCGATTCTACCTCGACTGACCTGTTGTTTTAATTTAAAATCTTGTCACAGAAGCAGGAGAGCTGAGTCTGATAAGGTGACAGGGGTGGTCAGATAATGAAATGAAATTAGAAGTTAGGAACACGGCACAAGACATCCAATTTCAACCGAAATTGCAAATGTGTCACTCGGTCACATCCACCACCCACCCACGACCAGCCAACCCACCAGGCTTCATCACGGACAAATCGGCAATTCAACTGGAATGAAGCCTTATCTAACTTTTTAGGTTTAAGTGAAGATGCGGAGGAGTGAAATTGATCAAGCCGTGCTTGATCCTCAATGCCATACGGAGTACGTGTCTGGTTGCTGAATGGTCACTTCATTGGCGTCCATTCTGCTTCCAATTCTCATTAGCAAACTAAAACCTCTCTTTGCCGGGTGCAGACGGAGATAATACTATGCAATCACAAACATGAATCCCTGGAGGGAACGACTACGCCGACAACGGTAATGATGTTGATCAGTTTTTACACCTATCTATTTATGTAATGTGTACATTCCTTTTCTACGTCTGTGTATTTGTTGTTCTACTTTCATCATTGTTAAATAACAAATTCGACCCTCATTTCTAAGCAGCTTTGCATACATATTAGAACAAATCACATTTGCATGAATTGTACAGATTATTTCTTGTCCTGCAACCCGTATGCGAAATAATTTCTATTATAATGAAAACGCAGCTAGTTTACAGACTAAATAATTCTGTGCAATTAATTCATTCTGACTCTTCCATAACGATTTTGCCAGAAATAACTTTTAATTATAAGCTCAATTGTATTTTTGGCTATTGAAATGCCCAATCCGGGTTGGACCGGGTTTCCTATTTGATATTCTGTCAATGACATTACTCGTACCCAAGAAATTGAGAGAAGAAAGTCATTTGGACAGCCCATGACGTGTGAATTTATTGCTGCAGCGAATGAAACGAGTCCGCAGGTTTCGTACATATTTTTGTACATTTTGTTCATTGTTGGCAAAATGGGTTTCCCAGCAGGGTTAATCATGTAATATTCTACAAGATCTACCATGAATATTTAATGATACACATGCCTGTGGTGATGGTAAAATCTATCAAAAGTACTTTTCATACATGTATACAGAATAGTTCAGTATACACGAGTGATAATATTTTTAACTTTTGTACTTTCCAAAATTGGGCGCATCCGTCATTTCTTATGAATGGTCATGACGTACGTAACACCATGTCAAAGTTAACTCAGGAAATGATGCACTCTAAAGTACTTGTGGAAATGAAAAGGAAATTCCAGATTCGAAGAAAAAAAGCTTAGAGCTCGGCGAGCAGGGCGAGAATAACCTGTTTTTTTCATATGCATAAAAGCAAGAATTTTTAGTGGAAAGTAAATGTGAATGAATGAAGATGTACACTTTTTGACCTGCTTACTTTGAAATGCTTTGGAATCCGAATCCTTAAGAACTCAAGGGAAACATGACTTGAACTCTGGGGAACTTGAAATTTCGTTCAAAAGGCTTTATGACCACCTCAGCTCAAAGAATCGGACAAACTTGCATTTGTCTGAATATTTCCCCAACTGTATATTTGCATTTTCTAAATCTCTCTTTGCAAAAGTCAGAAATTGAGTTTCATTACCAAAGTGGATTTTAAATTATTTTTCAAACAAATAATGTACACACACAGACTTTTATATTTCCAATGGATTTGACGCTTCAGGTCATAAGATGCAAAAATGCGAAATTATTATAACCAAATAAGTTGTTTGGTTTCTTCTCGAGAGAAAATGTTTTACGTAATCTCTAAGTGCTGTGTGGGGAATTGTAAGAATTTAGCATGTTACATATTGCTTTCCCCGTGTCTGCTTTCATCACAAAGATTCGCCAAGCCGTCTTCCCATTTCATAACAAATAACTACACAACAGTGACCACTCCGTGTTATTCTAACGTAGAAAATGGTTTCATCATCTCATTTCAGGCCCCATTCGACTTTTTTTTCAATTCAGATAGAATTACTCGTTTTTCTTTGAATTGCCGCAGAGCAATAAAGTATAAGAAAACATCAACAAATTTTACCTTCAAAGTTAAGATCTGAAACCTATGACTCAATCTATATGATTGCCCTACAAACGGTCCTAGTTTTCAATTCCAACTGGCTTCGAATTTCTAATTTCTTCCAATTTCTAAGACCTAGTCAATTGAAAGATTTTGAGGATTTTTCTTGGCATGGCCAGGACCAAGAGACACAGGAAATTTGATCTGTGTATTCATACCAAACAACTTGCAATATATGTTCGCATATCCTAGAATTTCGAGAGTTGTGTTGAGAGAGGACAAACCTGCAGTATACACAGTTCGTCAGAAATTGGGACTAATCAAAGCAAAGTATATGATAAAGTCGCGTCGCTATTTGTGTTTAACGAGATCGCCCTGGGAAATAGACAATAAGTTGATCTCCTCAACAGCACACTTGTAATGTCTGATTTGACTGACTGACTGACTACCCAAGCTATCCGGGGTAAACAGATGATGACGAAAAGAGAAGAAAATCTAATTTAAATCCATCTTGATTTTCCTCATCTTTTCCCAACTTTCAGCCCAAGTCAGCTAAACTCAATATGGGACATGTAACGTGGAACATAAGGTTGACGTGTATAAAGATTGAGCTCTGGAAAACTGGAAAGCAAGGACTGAGCAAATTCATACAAACAATATTATCGTGCTGGCTTCTGTATCAAAGAGCAGAAAATAATGGAAGATCACGTTTCTGTTTGCGTGAAGTATGTGGATATTTGCTGAATCTCGTTGATCTCGTCATTCCTCTTAGTACACAGACACATAAGTGTGCTCTCTACTTTGGCTGCTGGGAGAAAGTCGGAAAGGAGTTCAAATTACAAAACGATATATAAGCTGTTTGCTCGCCCTGATTTTCGGAACAATTTACAGAATATAGGATTGTTCGCAATCAGGACAAGACTTTCTTCCAGCCTTCAATACAACGTCTGATAACTGACAATAATGTTGCATGCACATAGTCACGATCCTTAAGGGACGATGCTAGACCCAACCAAGAATGAGAGAGAAAAGTGAGACTGCTTATGGCACTGACCTGCAATTTCTGGAGATGTTGGTGCTGCTGAGGGGAGTTGGCGGGGTCCAGATTTGCCTCCACTCCGAATTCTTGCTGTCTGTCAAATCTCTGTTGTGGCCATTCATCCCCATACTCCTCCGCAGTGGGTGGCGATTTGAAGAGTGATGGGTGAAATAATTGGCTTTGTGGTTTCGCCATGTAATTTACATTCCTCAGAGATGTCCCATCACTCCCAACGTCTACCAATGATGATGATGCTGATGATGACGATGAGGAAATGGGGGGAACTTGCCTTTGGGGAATGGAGGTCAATTCAGCTTCACCGCCGAGGGGGAAGCAGGAAACGGGGGATGAGACGGAAATAAGGAGGAAAAAGAGGGCGAATGCCCCAGACTTCTCCAGACTCCATATTCTCTGATTCATGTTGTTGGATGTGATACTTTTCTGATTAGGTAGGTTCTGATCTAGAAGAGATGATGATCCTGCAGCCGTACTTGGTACGAGTTGTGACGCGATCGTTTGTGATTTTGTGTGGGTGGAAGCCGCTCCTATCGACTTTCCAATTGATGCCATGTTTTGATCAGCTTTCAGAGATTGGTTGTGAGTTTGTTTTGTACGGATTACTTTTTGAACGGGGGAATTTTGTTGGACTACTTGTTTCTTGTGGATTTTGTAGTGTAAAGTGTTCGGTAATGGATTTGTGAGTTTTACTTGAGATGAGTGGAGCAGGGCTACCGTCATTGTCCAACGAACAAAAGACTTCTTAGAAATAGTGATTTTTTTACAGAAGGGCTTAATCGAATGTCTCGTTCCGCTGGGAAACTAGTAGGAGACGTTGACTCTGAAACGTATCCGAGGATGAGATTTCGGGTTTTCACTGCCTGTGGGTGACATCAAATAAAAAAGAGGAAGGTGAGTCTTAAGTTCATATGTATCACATCTCAATTATTCTGCGACAAGCGACACCGGAAAACTTTAAATGATCAAATTCAAAAGGTGTGTGGGTGGAAAGGAGAAAGTGAAATTGTAAAAGTTTTTACATTTCAGCTCTTTTTTGTGACCCAAGTTGAAACTTTTATTCCCATTTTATAGCGGTAACCGCAAAGAAATAATTGTTCAGTCAGTTAAAAAGAAAGACCAAGATGTTTAACGTCTGATGTAACAAATTACAAGTAAACTCATACTCGGCGCAGGTAACCCAGATAAACTGCTTAATGTGCTGTAGTTGTTCGACGTGGTGGATGTGGAGTTGGATAACCCTGTCGTTCTCAGCGGCAGCTTCCGTCCGTCTGTCCATCTCCATCGCCTACCACAACCCCTGCACCACCGCTGGTCAAAAGCAAAACCAAGCCAAACCACAAATGGGTAATAAAGCTGACAACTCCAAATTAAGTTTGGACAAGTTTAATAGACTTGGAGTTTGGTGGGGCCGGTCGAGGTTGGTTGGGGGAATGAAGGCAAGGAATACAATCGCAAATGGAATGATAATAATTTATTTAAGACCAAGACCGTATGAATCACTTTGTGCGACTGCCCAACTAAACCGGACGAACGTTAAGGCTCACGAAGGAAATAAAGAAAGAAGAGAAAGGATGATCCTGCCTCGCTGACAATTGAATTGAGCAACAGCGTGTTGAATTTCAAACCTAGTTTCGCCCAGGAGTACAAATGTATGTATGTCGGAGTGAGAATTGAGGGTACATTACACTCGAGGAAATCTCTAAAGAGAAGGGAAATTAGAATTTATAGGATGTTGGTGTGAACGACAGATACGTCGTCGGATGTAAACCGTCAGCAGTGACGGTTTTTGCCCACCAATAAATTCGCCAGACGCGTGTGCAGCAAGAAGAATGTTATGAATTATTTACCGGAAGATGATGACGACGCAAGCAAACTTGACACTGTTTCTCTTTAATCCCAAACAAAAAGTGGATCTCGTCCGCTTGAGCACTTTTCTATCCGTGTCCGTAAGTACTTTTTGCAACAATATCAAACACTTTCTCTTTTGACGGTGTGTGTCAAAGAAAAAAACACTAACAAAAAAATGTTCTATGTAAACTGCACAGCAGAGAATTCGGCACCAACACGCTGTAATCCTCCTATATAACAACCAGAACGGGCCAGAGAGTTGATTGATGGTCGATGAGGTGTTATCTACTGAGTGAGCGTGTGGAAGTTATTGAGTTCGGTGATTAAAGTATTACTTATGTACAACAACTTCTCCTCATTTGAGGCAAGTTGAGACAGAGTTGGAGTCCTTTTACTGCTCCAGCCAGGTTAGCGATGAGTTAGTGAGTGAGCCAACTGGAGAAATTCTCTCTCTACCCACCCCACCTCCTCTCCTTCTTCAGTAATAATTCCTCCATCCGCCCTGCTCATTTCTCACACAAAAAGCCACAATCGGCGTCTAAAACACAGGACGAGATATGTGCCTCCATCGTCTTACCTTGCCTCTTTCTTTCCCCTTAACTAACAGTCGTCAAAACACCATTTATATCTCATCAGCGATCCCCGCTAGAGATATCCTGCTATGAATAGATCCGGGAGAGTGGCGCATTAATTATTCCATTTTTATCAGCGTACAGGTGTTGTTTTCCCTGATTGAGTAAACACTTCAAAATACCGTTTTGATGAGAAATGCTACATTGATAGAACAGTTTTATGAATTTCCTAGTTTTTTTCATGTTTAATATACAAAAAAAAACAGTCCGCACCTACGCAAATTGTGTAAACCATTCGCAAATTGTTAAGTAGTGGACATGTTTTCCATACAATTTTTTGAAGGTGAATTCAGGGGTTTAATAATGGTCAAATGTCAAACAATAATGGAAAAAATGTCTGCGCCCACATATGTATCGACACGTGGAACAACGGATAACAAGTAAATTAAGAAGTTTGCCATATGCCAATCAACGCTAATGGGATTTCAACGTAGTTAAGCACTAATGTGATGCAGATATTACGTACCTTGGTGCTCCAGTTTAATTTCAAGAGGTGCATGATGATTTCAAAAACTACTTCAATTTAATCGAAAGACTCGCAGTAGTCGGCTCAGAATTCAACACTTTGCTTCAGCAAGATGAAACCTTGGACTGATTATAATTTCAGTACGGAAAGTTGTGTAAGTGGATTTGGACAAGTCAAGTAAACGATTCTTGGCATTATGCTGACGGAGTGGAGAGAATCAGGGAATGTGAGACAGACGAACTGCATGCCGTTCATTTTATATAAATTTCATCAGACTGTCCAATTAATTATTTATTTCATATCGGTATCTCAGTCGTCACAAAGACATTAAATTTCAGACAATCTCATCCACCTCGAGAAATGAATGAAGTTTATGCTGTAATTTTCTGAATGGAACTCAGCTTAACACAACTCATGAATTGTAAAGTTTATTACTTTGCACTTTGTAATTTAACCCATGTGCTCGGCAAGTGCTCTTGGGCGAGAATTTGTTCCATATTTCAGTACGGTTTCGTATATACAATTCTAAATGTAAATATGTATCAGCAGATAAGCATGTGCACATATTTCATTATAATAATAGTAATCATATTCCCATTATAGCAAATTGTAAGTCAATCAAAATTGAAAGCTTTTGACAAGTGTCAGTTTTAGTTTAGTAATTTAAAACAAAAATTGAGATGTGGACAAATGCTGTTGATCATGCATGACAAAAAATCAGAAGACTGCACACGCAAGTAAATAAATAAATAAGCACATGCTCATTCATACTGGATGTGGTAAGTAACTCATTGCATTTGACGATCCTCAGTGCCATTTATTTACATCGGGCTCAACACCGTGACGCATTAAAATCAAAAACAGTTCTGTCCTTGTCCTTAACTCCTCGGGAGAAGGGTTCAGTGTCAAATGGTGTCATTCAAACGAACTGTCTGAAATCAACTTATGATGACAAAGTGAACGGGATGTCTTAAAAGTCCATTAGTTATAATTACAACGCAATTTACAGTCAGCCAATTTGCCAAGTTCAAAATGTTAAGCAGTCCAAGCTAACTGGACCAGGGACCGCTGCCTGCCGCCGGCCCCCATCAAATTTTGCTTGGTTATTGAAAGGGGAGAAAATTTGTTGCAAACACTTGAATGCTACTTGGCAGTTGTAGAAAAAGTATTAATATTCATTACACGAATTAGCATTGTCACTCAGTCCTTATTCCAGCCGGGATATTACTTAATATTGCAGGGCATGTATTATGAAAGGACATGAATGATATCGTCAGACGACGGACGAAGACGGTCACCAAGCGTCACGCTCTGACCGAATGTTGTTCCTTCAACCCAGAACTGGTATGAAGTATATAAATATGTACTCGTGTTATCGAAAAAACGATATATATTGATTGTTAATGCATATATGCACCATTGGACGGTTGGACGGCAGGAGTTGGCTGGAGAGTATAGGACTTAAGGTATGATGACATTGCACGCTACTGCAGAATGTTGGGTGTTGAAATTTACAATCGAATGATGCTATTTGACGACGTGATGGACTATATAAGGTGAATTAACGGCAGGCATCACGTGGGGTCGTGGTCTTATATCTAGGCGGCTGCTGCTATATTGTTCGAATGTATCAAAGATGAGTCAGGGGGTAAAGGTACATATCCGCTTCAGTGATCCAGTTTTTATGCTGATCAGTCAAACTATGCAAATAAATAATGCAGAATATGTATACAAGCAGCAGACGGTAGCACACTGAAGCTATCTTCTTGTCCTGTCGACTTGTATCTATTCTCGTACCACGCCCTCGTGATATTGTTGATTAAGACAAATTAGGCTATTTATAGATGACATTTGACAGCAGATTATTTTTGAGTCTGATTTCCAGACATGAAGAAATAATTAAAACAAGTTCAATCCGAATTTGTCTATGATATCAAGTAGAACTTTGAGACGGAAAATGTTCTTTCAGCACCAAGAACGCCTACTCCTTCTGAAAACTGCGAGAAAATTGTCATTGACTTTCAAGAACGTCCTGTCTCTTGTCCTTAACCCATCAAATAATCAGCTAGTACATTGATTTAATCTTTAAGTCTATATTTCCAACGTCAGGATGCGAATGACATTTAATGGACTCAATCACGAAAGTGACAATAATGTGAAACTCAAGCAAGCGGACACTAATTTACTTTGGTCATAATTGAATGAGTGGGGGTGGATGTTACTTTTGCATATACAAGTTCGTTGCTCATTTGTATTGATTTATTCCTTATTCATTCATAATATGGCGTATAGTTTCATTAATTCAGTAGTTTGGCTGAAGCACCGAAAGCATAACACCGCAAAAAGTACTTGACTACCTGTCATAGATATGCAAATTGGAACTGAAAGACTGTTTCTCATGTCATTTGAAAATAATTGCCACAAACGATAAAAAATGTATCCCCGTCGGGGCGTATCATCTTGTCCTGGATAATACGGTGTGTAATAATAATCAACAATTAATTCGCCCCGATTGAGCGACATTTAGCGTAGAAATTCACTGAAGGTACTACTTTCACCTTCAGCCTATCCCCTCCTTCCACTTGTATCTTTCCAGGTTTCTTAAATTATGGAAGTGTGCTGTCACACAATCCAGCATTCTCAGCCGAGCTAGCGAGCGAGCTTTCCTGCTTGTGTTTGTACGTAACCAAAATTATCCCTCTCCGGAGATCAATAACTGTTTCTCCCAATAAAACAATGCAATTCAAATTCAAGGTGAGTGGCTGGATACGCACGACGACGGGGGATTACTCTGTTTGTTATTCATGGAACATACAAAAAACGAATATTTAGTGTCTACTTAAAAGTCTACTTAAGTGTGCACAAAAATAGCTTTTTACACACCGGTCTTCCACACTCGCAAAGTTAAGCAACG